TAAATTAATTTCTATTTTTCCAAAATTCAAATATGGTGACAACTTTAATATCATTATTAAACCAATCCATTAAATAAAAAAATTCAAAACTAAAAATATTTCATATATTAAATATATCGATTATATATTAAAATCTTAACAATCACCCATTACATGATCATCATCCAAATACATAATAAAATTTATTTTGGTAAATAAATAAATAAATAAATTCCTAAAAAATTTATCAATTTTACATAAATTTATATTTGGTGGGTAGAAATAATTTTTAAAATTTTAAAAATATTTTTTCGACATTTTTTTTTGTCAAATTAGTTTATATTTTATCAAATTAACGATTTTGCTCTTAAAATTAAGCAATTGTATATTTAATTATCCTTATTTGTAACAAGATTCAAAATTTATGGTTAAATGTGTCACAATTGAAAAGTCAGGAATTAAAGTGAGATGAGTTCCAAACTATAGGGACCGTTAGTGCAATTCGCCTTTGATAAAATTTCTCTAAAGCAGCCAATTTTTATTATTTTTTTTCCAGAACATCATCTTATATATAAATTTTAAAAGGCTATTTATACAAAAACTCTCTAAACTATTAAGAAGTAATACTTTCTAAATTAGAAAAACATATAAATGAATCCCTTAAACTATTGAGATGTATCACTTTATCTCATATATTATAAAAGTGTATCTCATAAATTTACAAGTTAGTTAAACCGATATGATGTTTACCACTTGTTGAAATTTACAGCAATTTATAAGTTGGTTAAACCGATATGATGTTTACCACTTGTTGAAATTTGTAGCAATTTACAAGTTGGTTAAACCGATATGATGTTTAACACTTGTTGAAATTTGTATCAATTTACAAGTTGGTATGTCTTTGATGCTTTTGATATTCTGTTTAGTGAGTTTAGCACTTGATTTATCTTTGAGAGATATACTGACTTGATCGTCAGAGTGCCCTCGGGTGGACGAACCACCGCCGGAATCTTGTCTTTCTGTTGCAGGTCAGCCAGGTGCCATCTATTCTGTCGGTGCTCTTCAGCTAGTTACTAAGCGGGCAGTGTGGTCAGAAAATCACTCACACAATTTGGCGCCATCTGTGGAAAAGAAAGAAGAATAGATGGCCAATGAAAGAAAGAAGAATAGATGGCCAATTTTGAGAGATATACTGACTTGATCGTCGAAGTGCCCTCGGGTGGACGAACTACCGCCGGAATCTTCTCTTTCTGTTGCAGGTCAGCCAGGTGCCATCTATTCTGTCGGTGCTCTTCAGCTAGTTACTAAGCGGGTAGTGTGGTCAGAAAATCACTCACACAATTTGGCGCCATCTGTGGAAAAGAAAGAAGAATAGATGGCCAATGAAAGAAAGAAGAATAGATGGCCAATTACGGACAGAAGGATCAGATTGGAGACAATGCTCCTGCTGGAAGTGGGAGACCTATCAACCTCGACGTTGAAGGGGACGACCGCAACACAGAAACTCGTGACCAGAGTCACGGAGTGAAAGACACCGGCCAGAAAGGTGACGCACCAAAGACAACAGATCGAAGTGGATACTACAACGAAGATGACCTCCAGGTATGGAAGGATAGATACTTGCGGAGAAGGGAAGAACCTTCCAGAAGGGATGCAAAGACAGGGGGCATGAGCGCTCCCAAGGAGATAACATTCAAGTATAGAAGAACTCATCGTAAGTGAGCAGATCCCGGATCCTAAAAGACATGATCTCGGCTTAGATGAGTAGGTCCGAGAAGAGAAGAGCTCAACCTGAGTGAGCAGATCCAAGATTTTAGCAGACAAGATCTCGGCACTTAAGTCCGAGAAGAGAAGAGCTCAGTGAGCAGATCTCAGATCCCATAAGATAAAAAAAAAGAAAACACAAAAGGTTGGACTGCAGTTAGCCAGGTTGAAGACCTTTTATAAGGTTCGCAAAGGAGTATGTGGAAGCCATGCAGGGGGCAGAGAGAAAAAAATATGTTTACCACTTGTTCAAATTTGCAACAATTTACAAGTTGGTTAAACCGATATGATGTTTACTACTTGTTGAAATTTGTAACAATTTACAAGTTGGTTAAACCGATATGGTGTTTAACACTTGTTAAAATTCTGTGTGAATTTACAAGTTGATGTTAAACCGATATGATGTTTAACACTTGTTGAAATTCTGTGTGAATTTACAAGTTGAAGTTAAACCGAGATGATATTTAACACTTGTTGAAATTCTGTGTGAATTTACAAGTTAAAGTTAAACCGAGATGATGTTTAACACTTGTTGAAATTCTGTGTGAATTTACAAGTTAAAGTTAAACCGAGATGATGTTTAACACTTGTTGAAATTCTGTGTGAATTTACAAGTTAAAGTTAAACCGAGATGATGTTTAACACTTGTTGAAATTCTGTGTGAATTTACAAGTTAAAGTTAAACCGAGATGATGTTTAACACTTGTTGAAATTCTGTGTGAATTTACAAGTTAAAGTTAAACCGAGATGATGTTTAACACTTGTTGAAATTCTGTGTGAATTTACAAGTTAAAGTTAAACCGAGATGATGTTTAACACTTGTTGAAATTCTGTGTGAATTTACAAGTTAAAGTTAAACCGAGATGATGTTTAACACTTGTTGAAATTCTGTGTGAATTTACAAGTTAAAGTTAAACCGAGATGATGTTTAACACTTGTTGAAATTCTGTGTGAATTTACAAGTTAAAGTTAAACCGAGATGATGTTTAACACTTGTTGAAATTCTGTGTGAATTTACAAGTTAAAGTTAAACCGAGATGATGTTTAACACTTGTTGAAATTCTGTGTGAATTTACAAGTTAAAGTTAAACCGAGATGATGTTTAACACTTGTTGAAATTCTGTGTGAATTTACAAGTTAAAGTTAAACCGAGATGATGTTTAACACTTGTTGAAATTCTGTGTGAATTTACAAGTTGAAGTTAAACCGAGATGATATTTAACACTTGTTGAAATTCTGTGTGAATTTACAAGTTGAAGTTAAACCGAGATGATATTTAACACTTGTTGAAATTCTGTGTGAATTTACAAGTTGAAGTTAAACCGAGATGATATTTAACACTTGTTGAAATTCTGTGTGAATTTACAAGTTGAAGTTAAACCGAGATGATATTTAACACTTGTTGAAATGTGCTCTTTAGAGTTTGCCTAGGACCCTGTAAAACTCAGGGTCGGCCTTGGGTTTTTCAATCATTTTTTTTTGTTACTCTTTAGAACCTTTTTTTTTTGGGTAAGTAAGTCATACTCTTTAGAACCTACACTAGCCTAATTTAGCATAATTACATTAGGGCCCATAAAGTTTCAATTCAAATAACATTTTGCCCCTTTTTTTCATCAGTAATCAATTCTATTAGTTTATTCACATTCCACTCTCACTCTCCCTTTATAAGAGTCTAAAAAAAGTGCGTAGTCTATCCTATTAAGTGCCAGGCGTTCAAACAATTCAAAACTTGAAAACAGACGAAAATAGAAGACAACAGAGGGCAAGTAAACGGATTCAGAAGAGTTATGAAAGATTGAGCTTAATAAAAGAGTTTATGAACCTACCAAGAGAAATGAACGCCGATATGAAGATCACCGGAGTCAAATAGATGATTGGAAGTCGAGAACCCATCGAAGAATGTGAGTGGAGCAGTTGCAAAGCTCTTGGAGTTTACGAATTAATGGAACAAGAACCTCGGCTAGGAGGTGTGATCTCGAGCAGCTTGGACAGCATGAAGCTTGATACTTGACAGAAGTGGACAGTAAAGTCCAGGGAACTTTGAGGTCGGCGAGTTTGATCTCGGACAGAGGGGCACAGATGAACGAACAGTGTAGGTTCCATCACCTCAGAATGCCAAGGTAATAGAACCTAGGGGACAGTTGTGGGGATATATTTTCTCAGTACCAACACGTGGCCAAGGTGACGCCGACGTGTCAGCCGATGTGCCACGTGTCCTGGTTGTTATGCCGAGGTCATCTCAGATAGGCCGAGGTTACCTCCGAAGATATCGGAATCCGAGATAAGCGGATGAGGGACAAGAGTCCTAAAATGAGAGAAGACTTCAGTTTGTATTAAGATAAGACTCTTAGAGAGTTTATCCTAATTTTATTGGGAGTCCAAGATTAGCAGTAAATCCTGAGTCCATAAAAGTTAGGCTTCTATTGGGACTAGGTTTATGTTGGCTATAAAAGAGAGGCACATCCATGAGTCTAAAGTATGCTTTTGATACTTAAGCTTGTGAGTTAAGCACTATTGGTTATCTTTGAGAGATATTGAGTACTGACTTGATTGTCGGAGTGCCCCTAGGTGGACGAGCCACCGCCGAAAACTCTTCTTTCTGTTACAGGTTGTTCGGACTTAATCTATTCTACCGATGTTCTCCAGTTGAGTACTAAGTTGGCAATGTGGTCGGAAATTGACACACACAGTGTACAAACTAGGCCTATTTTGGGAAGTGGGTTAAAAGCCACTTTTCAGCTTTTAACTCATTTCATTCTCTCACAAAAAAGTTAAAAAAAATAAAAAAAAATAACTTTTAACCATCTTCCCAAAACACTCCTTAATCACATAAACTATAAAAACATACAAATTATACCTCTTAATAGAAGCAACAAAATAAAACGTATCAACAATTTAGGGGGTCAATTTATACTTTTTAATAATTTAGAGGATAAAACGATGCTTCTCAATGATTTAAGAATCAATTTGTATAATTTTATAGTTTAAAAAGTTAAAATGATATTTTTTAGTAAATAACGCAATTTAAACTAGATGACAATATCGGGCTATATTTGGTTCTAAAATTTTGGACTCAATTTATTGTAGGCTTTACTTCCTTCTAAGATCTGGATCAGCCCAATATTAACGGAAGCATAATTTATTTAGTTGGGCTTTTCATAAATCCCAATAAACCTAGTCCGGAAAAAATCTTATCGTTAGATCTCAGCCTCGTCGGTTGACGTAAATAAAAGCCAATTATCAACCGCATTTAATCGCAATTTTCAAATCCGCGCTTATTTTTTCTCTATCTCTATTGCGTAGGAACCCTAGTTTCTCTCTCTCCACATCTGAGCCATCTCGTTAGGGTTTTTGCTTTCTTTGTAGTTGTAGGGTTTTGATACGTCGTCATTGTTGTGTTTCTCTCTCTGGATTTGTAGTCTTCGTATCAGTTTATCTCTCTAAGTTCGTGCTTTCTTTGTGTCTATGGAGTTCGGAGGTGCTCGAAAGAGAGGGAGGCCACAAGCTTCCTTGAATGGAAATGGAGGGTACAAGAAATCCAAGCAAGGTTCGTTTTTTACATTGCTTTACTATGCTCTTTCTTTGTTGAATCTAGGGTTTTATTGATTCAATTGCTCGACATCTCTATATGTAGCGTGTACAAGATTTGTTACGACTCTGCTGGTTTATAATGGGTTTTTTAGCTACTGCTACTGAGAGTTTCTCACTTGTATTAGGTGTTCGCTCTCTTTTTACTGTCTCGTTCATCTTGTGTCTCTGAGTATTTGCATTTTGTTTGTTTAAGTTGCTCAGTTTGGTTGATTCTTGGTTGTCCTTTTTATTTATTTATTATTCGTTAGTTTATTGATTCCTGTGTTATGGGTCTCTTGTATTGGTCTTTTGTTCAGGAGATTTATTCGTGTGACATCTTTCACTAATGTCGTACCTTATCAAAATTATGGGTTTTTTGTATTGGTGTGTTTTATTCAGGAGTTTGGCCTGTTATATCAGTCCATTCACAAAAGGTTGATAGGAAATAGTTCAATAAGAGATGGAAAGAAATATGTTATGTGCCTAAATTTCTTACCCCCAACATGATTTGGAGTTCTGTTTATTTGGGGGCAAATATAATATAAAATTTGAAGATGCGTTATTGCCTTGAAAACTGAGGAAAAGAGAAGGAAAAAAATATTTTCCTTGCATTTTATGCCATTTAGTTTTGAAGAGAACAAAATATTTAGGCTAAGTCAGCTAATGTGATTTTTTTAATTCTTGTTTTGTGGTAATCAAAAGAAGAAGAAAAGATTACAAATTTAAAAACTGAATGGCAATGACTCGTGGCGATTGATCAAGTATAGCTTGAAGACCTCCAATCTTTGCGAGTTTTCTAATGGATTTGATTTCCTTATTTTTGAATTTTCTTTGGGCCCCATTTATTTTATTGATAATTTTATATTTTATCACAAGCAGTGTCTATTTTAATGAAATAAATCAGATTGATGGAATTCATTACAATCCTTGATGAAGTTTTTCAAGAACTATTTTAATTGAACCTTTGGAGCCTTAATGTTAATGGTGCGTCTTCTATGTTGTTTTAGCAAAGTGTATATATTGGATATCTTTAATAAGGCAGAGATATGTCATTAGTGATGAAAAAAATTGTAAGGTGGTTCATAGATATTCTGCGAAGTTCCAAGATTAATAACTTACTGGAATTTTAACTGAGAAAAATAATTAATGTTCTGCAACAGAAATGGAGTCCTTTCCAACTGGTATAGGAAGCAAATCGAAGCCATGCACAAAGTTTTTCAGGTTCAAATCCTAACCTATCTAAGATAAATACTCTAAATTCAATTTTTATCTATTGTTAATGTTTATACAAATTGTAAGAAAAAAAAATATTGTTACAACCATTGCACATAAAAGTTGTGTGATCCGGACTAATGAATTGGGTGTCTAAAGTTGTGATACAGGCCATACACATCATTTAATCATGGTAACAAGAACTGGATGATTTGTAAGAGTATTGTTGTATTAATTACCTGCTGGGGTATTTATGGTCCAAAAGAAGCCGAGTGGGATGCGTACTTACTATTGTATAAATTACTTGTTGGGCTGTTTGTAGTCCAAAAGAAGTTGAATGGGATGGAAAGGTTTGTCCATTGTATGAAATATTTATTGCAATCTTTGCATAGCGGTGGAATATAGAACCATTAATGGACATCTAAAATTGTCGGCACAGGTTATTCACTTTTTCCCTTTTTTCACCCTTATCTCATTAGGAAAGACTATTGAATAAAATTAGTAGGGTTCATGACAGTACAGTTAGAATATGCCTCTTATGGACTATATTTTTAACTTGGAAATGGTTGCTATAGTATGATTGCTATAGTATGATTTGTTCTCCTAATATATTTTGTTAATCAATTTGCTTTTGGTTGCTTGAGTTTAAAATGCCCATGATATCCGTTACTTATGCCTTGGATATTACTTTCAAGTTTCAAGTTGATTTTGACAAGCGATGGTTCTCTTTTGATCCCTATGACCTTTTGGTTTGGCTATGTGCATTTAATTGGTTTGTTGCATTCAGACAGCATCTTGTTTATGTTAAATTTTATTTCAGTATCTTCTTATGCATTTCTCCTCTTACTCCATGGAATACCTTACCATGTATGCTGTGGGAGGATTGGATACCAAAAATGTGTGCTGGATGTAGTACTACTATAGAGTGCTTTGGTAAATATTCATTATCAAATTTTTTAAACAAAGTGAGCATTTCAAAATTGGTATGCAAGTTGTTAACATAGGTCAATTGTTGTATTTTTTATATAATAATCCATATATATATATTTTGGAGTAGCTCCTTCTGACTATTTGTTTAATTTTGTGTTAATATTACTTGTTTCATGAAAGCATATATTGATTTTTTCCTGCATTTATATCCATATATGATGTGACTGTGATATGGTTGATTGATAGTTGAGGATCCATGGGTATCTAAGATGTCCTCAATCATATTTCCATATAAAACTGTGATATGTACATTGGAGTCAAGCAAACTTAAATGTTCCTATTTGCAAAAAAAAAGGTAGATACAGATTACATGGCCATTTCTGCAAGTGTTGGAAGCAATCTCGTGTCTTCCGTTGGATTTTGTTATTTTTGCGCATTCAGGACACAAGGACACTGCTGATTCATGTGTGGGCCAAAATTTTCTGATCTATGTCCAATGGCAAAATGATGTCTTTATGTGTAACGATGTATGTTTGATTGGTACACATTTTTTTTATACCATGCAATGAAGAACCATAACTATATAAAGTATAAGGGAGAAAATAAAGTTGAATTAGGATATACTCCTCTCTTCTTTGTTAGGTATTTCTGTTGGGTAGGTGTTCAATATTAGATGTACCGGTAACCTCACATCTTTATCATTGGTGTATCATATGTGTCTAAGGTGCATTAGATGCTTTTGTGACCATGTAACATAGTTGAGTTTGATCTTGTGAAGTGTTTTTTAATAACTCGGTATTTGGCCCATTGATCTTATGAAGTGTTTATGTTATACTAGTTTGATTGCTAATCGAACTTCTTGTTTCTATTTTTCAAATTAGTCATATTAGGAAGCATTTATTTGACATGGCTCAAGCTCCTACATGGTGAGGTGACTGGGTGGATAGGTCACCAGCTAAACTACCAGACCAACTGATCAGAATGCACATATTTAAGTTAATTAGGTGAATATAAACAAAAATGCATTTGAAAAATAATTAAGAAATGTAAATTGATATATATTTGAAAAAATATAGCAATTCAAATTCATCATTAGTCAATCAATGTGAACATTCACAGATTATGAAGTGTGTTATATTTCAGTCTACATGTAATTGTTTATTTTCATATATATTGTATTTTGCATTTGCGACATGTAAAAAGTTGACATTATTATTCTATTATGATAGTTCATAAAAATGCCAATTATTTCTCTTACTTAAAATTAGAGATAATAACTAAAGAAAATGATATCCTTTGTAGCAGCAGATAGCATGGACCAGTGACTGGATACTTTACTTGCATATTAAAAATCTCTGGTTTCAGTAGGTTTATTTATGTAAAGTGAGGTTCACTGGGTGTAAACAATCCACTACCACTAGATCAAGAGTTAATACTAAGACTCAAGTAAACGACTTTACAACACAACCTAGATGTTGTTAGCCTTAACTTCTTCACCCATCAAATGTGCAAGTTTGATCTCCACTTGCAAGTGGCTTTGTTACCTTTTTCAGTTCTTGATCTCTGTTCTTTGTGGCTCCATTTGCATTTGGTCAGTTGGCTGGACTTCTTCACCCATCAAATATGCAAGTTCGATCTCCACTGACAAGTGGCTTTGTTACCCTCTTCTTGTCTTGATCTCTGTTATTTGTGGCTACAATTGCAATTAATCAGTTGATACTCCAAAACAGTCAATTTTAATAAGATTTCCATGACTTGTTGCAATCAATCCGTTGATACTCCAAAACAGTCAATTTTAATAAGATTTCCATGACTTGTTGCAATCAATCCGTTGATACTCCAAAACAGTCAATTTTAATAAGATTTCCATGACTTGTTGCAATCAATCCGTTGATACTCCAAAACAGTCAATTTTAATAAGATTTCCATGACTTGTTGCAATCAATCCGTTGATACTCCAAAACAGTCAATTTTAATAAGATTTCCATGACTTGTTGCAATCAATCCGTTGATACTCCAAAACAGTCAATTTTAATAAGATTTCCATGACTTGTTGCAATCAATCCGTTGATACTCCAAAACAGTCAATTTTAATAAGATTTCCATGACTTGTTGCAATCAATCCGTTGATACTCCAAAACAGTCAATTTTAATAAGATTTCCATGACTTGTTGCAATCAATCCGTTGATACTCCAAAACAGTCAATTTTAATAAGATTTCCATGACTTGTTGCAATCAATCCGTTGATACTCCAAAACAGTCAATTTTAATAAGATTTCCATGACTTGTTGCAATCAATCCGTTGATACTCCAAAACAGTCAATTTTAATAAGATTTCCATGACTTGTTGCAATCAATCCGTTGATACTCCAAAACAGTCAATTTTAATAAGATTTCCATGACTTGTTGCAATCAATCCGTTGATACTCCAAAACAGTCAATTTTAATAAGATTTCCATGACTTGTTGCAATCAATCCGTTGATACTCCAAAACAGTCAATTTTAATAAGATTTCCATGACTTGTTGCAATCAATCCGTTGATACTCCAAAACAGTCAATTTTAATAAGATTTCCATGACTTGTTGCAATCAATCCGTTGATACTCCAAAACAGTCAATTTTAATAAGATTTCCATGACTTGTTGCAATCAATCCGTTGATACTCCAAAACAGTCAATTTTAATAAGATTTCCATGACTTGTGGTTGAATGCATAACTTAAATTGTCAAATTTTTCTAGAATCTGCAATCCTCTCAGGATAGAGGAAATTCACGGGCTGGTTGGTAATGTACCCTCTTCAAAGGCTGATTATGTACACTATGGATATATTATTCTTATATAATAATATTTGTTATTGGATCAATGTTTTTGTAATTTTGTTGGATTTATTTTGTGGATGTTTGTTATTGAATTTGGCCTTAGTTCGTGATTTGCTGTCTAATTTTTATCTCTTGTATCACTTATAAAAAAATGTTATCTTCAGTATCAATGTGTCATATTGATGGTTTGCCTCTTTTTGGTTTATTTGCTGCTTGGTATAATTTCGGAATTAAAAATGATTGAAAACAATGTGAGAAACTGGATTTGAGAAATAGGATACAATGATGCAAGGATCATGTGCATAGTGCATCATCCTCCCATTTCTAATTAGATAATGAGTGCATGTGTTGTTTGTGCTTGATGGAGCTTACTTAAAGCTACAATGAAAGAAGGATGTGCTGAAATTAGTGGACGACTGGTGTGTGGCATGGCTGCAAGGTTGTTTCAAACAAAAGAAGGGTTATACTTTGTTTGGTTAGTGTAAACAGAATTACGTGATTTTGTGTCTACAAAACTTTTATGGCCTTCTGTGTGCTTGTTTTACATAGGATGTTAATGGTCATGGCTCATGTTAATTATTTGTTACCACCTGGTCAAACCCCAAAGTGCGCATGGCAGGGTTCTAAATTATATGGTGGACATCAATTATTGTTTGCACTGTAGGTGGTTGATGCACTAACATGACAAATCTTAGAAAAGTAGGACACGACACGACACAGCAAGGACACCATATAATATAAGATATTTATGTTTTTTTTTTTTTGTGCATATTGTATAAGAAAATATGTAGTTTAATTTATATATATATATATTTTAATAAAAATTGCAAACTGTGGAGAACAAGATCTACAAATATCATATATATAATGATGCACATTCCTATTGTTTGTGTTCTTACTACAGTTCTCTTTTTAATTAATCTTTATCTATATTTTTTCATTTGTTTGAAGTTTATTGCATACTTTATGTTGATCATGCACATGATGTATTCTTTTTTCAAAAGTTTTAAGTCGTGTTTGGGGTGTGTAAGTTGCTTTTCCAAGGATGAATGAATGTTATTACTGTTGAGAGATTCATCACATAAGTCATATCCATGAAGTGTCATCGAAGTGTTTAAAATAATGAATTTTCATTTTAAAATTTGGACTGTTGAAGAAGTGTTGGACATGTTTCTAGGAGTGTCCAACAAGTGTCTGATGTCCAACACGTAGGTCATTGGCACAGGCCTCATGGTTCCTCTCTAGAAGTGATTATACTACTTGATTGTAGGTATTCCCCCATCCTTTATTGGACAAATCACACTTGTCACCCCTAAGTTTGATCTAAATATTGCTTTGGTCACTCTAATATCTAGTTTAATTTGTAACAATGTTATCCTTGTAGCTCTTTTCATTTTGCAATGGTGACCATTGACCACCAATCTGTGGTCACAAACGGGAATAATGAAGTCGCCAGTTTTCCCTTATTTGAATGTAGTTTTGTTTCTTCTTCAACTAAACCTGTCATAACAACTAATTTGAATTAAGGATTTCAGGAGTTTGTGTTGAGGTTAGAGGGTGATTAGTGTAATTTACCCCTTTTTGCCTATCATCCCATAAATTACTTTTCTCATTTTTGGTGCTGTGGTTCCTCATTAGTATTAGCAGTGCATGAAGCATGAAGGTGATGTTGCGATTGAGATGTTTTAGTTATGTAGTGTTTGGTTCACTAGAATGGAATGGAATGGACATTCCTTAGTCTTTCTGTGGAATGACTGAATGATTCCATTTGTAATGCATTGTTTTCACCAATTTTTTTAGTGAACCAAATGTGAGAATGAACATTAAGAAGGAATTATCATTCCATTCCTTTTGATTCCAGTGAACGAAATAGAGCATTAGAGTTTGAGAAAATCATGAATTCATTGCATCTTGTATATTGGGGGGGTTGCTCAAACCAATTGTTAGTTGAGTATTTGACTATGACAAAAGAACTATCAACGTTATGTTCTTGATTCTTGAGGAGGTGGAATTTATTTACAAATTACATATGATTTTATTCCATATGATACATTTATATTCAGATTGGACATTTTTGTTTGTTGAACTTCATTGTACTTGTTTTTTTTTCCCTCTTTATGCCCCCTTCCCTCCCTCCCTTATTATGTTACTTGGAGCATCTTTTGAATCGGTTCTTGTTCTACCTACTTGCCTCTGATGCATTTGGTTTTACTTGGCATATGCAGCACTTCGGGGTGCCCATTTGGCGAGGGATGCCATTTCCTGCATTACGTT